AGATAGATAGATAGATAGATAGATAGATAGATAGATAGATAGATAGATAGATAGACAGATAGATAGGCAAGGGATTTTTTTTCTGAATGATTTAACAATGACTATCTATAGATATACGCAAGCAAGGGAATGTTTTCAGATTCGTGCAATAGTGATCACCCATAGTTTTAAGATTTTTCCTATATAGGGAAAATTGTGTTTTTATATTAACGTACAGTCAAGCACACACTTAACAAAACACGCACAAAGCGAAACGTGAACAAAACGAACAGATTTTCTTATCACAACACTTTTCTTACATAAAAGAATTGGTATTTCCTTTATATTTAAGATACGAACATAGCGAAATACGTACATTGCGAGAAGATTTTGCTATGTACGTGTTAGACTATATTTTTGTAAGTTGTTTGATTGTCTGGTCTCCGTTCTTCTCTCCCCTCAACAGGATCTACTCGTTTACTATGCCCGGAACTCCACCATGCACGGGATCCCTTCCATCGTTGGATCCAAGCTGTACAGAGGACGGCAGTGAGTACTGTGGTGTTGTTGTTGTGGTGGTGTTTGTTGGTTGTCGGGGTGGTATCTTTGTTGTTGCTGTGATGGTGATAAGTTTGTTGTTGTTGTTGTTGTGGTTGTGGTTGTGGTGGGATCCAAGTTGTACAGGAGAAGACAGTGAGTACTGTGGTGCTGTTGCGGTGATTGTTGGTAGTGGTTGTTGGTGGTGGTCGTGGTGGTATGTTTGTTGTTTTTGTGGTGGTGGTGGTGGTATATTTGTTGTTGTTGTCGTGGTGATGGTATGTTTCTTGTTGTTGTTGCTTTTGTTGTGAAGCTGGTATGTCTGTAGTGGTTGTTGTTGGTGGTCGTGTTGGTATGTTTCTTGTTGTCATAGTGGTGGTATGTTTGTTGTTGTGGTGGTGATGGTGGTGGGGTCCAAGCTATACAGAGGACGACAGAGAGTACTGTTACAGCTCGTTTTGTGAGTGCGTTTTTTGTAGTGTTGTTGTGGTGATTGGTGGTGGTTGTAGTGGTATGTTTGTCGTTGTGGTGGTGGAGATGGTATATGTATTGCTGGTGCTGTTGTTGTTGTTGTTGTTGTTGTTGTTGTTGTTGTTGTTGTTGTTGTTGTTGTTGTTGTTGTTGTTGTTATTGTTGTTGTTGCTGGTGCTGCTGTTTTTGCTGCTGCTGTTTTTAGCGGTGGTGGTTGCTTGTGTTATTTTGGTTGTTGTTGCCATGATGATGATGATGATGATGATGATGATGATGATGATGATGATGATGATGATGATGATGATGATGATGATGATGATGATGAT